TATTTTTACATATATATATATATATATATATATATATATATATATATATATATATATATATATATTATGATAAAGAAAAGAAAAGTAAGATATATAATCCGTGTTCTTATTAATAATTTTATTTTTACAAAAGAGTGCTCAATGCAAGTAAAATATTATAAATTTACATATTTAAAATATGGTTCCATCGCTACAGAGGAATTACCATGTTTCAAAAACAGAAGCTAAAAACTGCAAATTCCATTATAGAATTAAATTAAATTAAAGTCCCTAGTTCTGTTTCATTTTCAAGCGAATTTTGGAACCCAAAATTCGCTTGAAATTTTCGTTACCAGACATAGCATCTTCTAGCAGCCACACTCTTAACCCAGGGCAGGACAACCTCTTCAAGACATTTGATGTGGACCTCCGTGTTCAGTCTGAGGCCCTCACCGATAAATTCGGGAGTTCCTTTCTTATCAGAACGATCTGAGTGAATTTTCTGAGCTGTCGTACCTTCGTAATCACCATTAGACTCATCCAACTCTTTCCGAATCCTCTGCACTCTTCTCAGATTGGCAGTCAAACATTCTAAAATGTTTGTACTGGAGTTTCTGATGCGAATGTCAAGAAGTACAGCATGCCGTTTCCAAATTTCTGGTGCAGTGAATTGCGTCATGGTGATCTTTTTCTCACAGACGGTGCCCAACTCACTCTACCATACGGTTCAGTCAACAAAATAAAAATAAATAACGCCCAGGCGCGAAATTAAAAATTTAAAATGGCGACATATATATATATATATATATATATATATATATATATATATATATATATATATAGTTATAACTTTTTTGTAAAATAATGGATTCTTATTAAAAAATAAGGAAGAAGGTTTTAATTCAGGTTATTTTTTAAATATCACCCCAACACAATTTTTTTTTAATTCGTATGTAAGTATAGTAGTACTTAATATGCTTTTCTGCGGGATTCTAGAACTTTCAAGAAACTTCTAGAACATCTGATATAATATCCAATAACATCAAGAAACCGCCCTCCTGAGAAATCGACCATTTTGAGATTTGAATTCGGGTTTCATTGTTGGAAATATTTTAACCACTCGACCAAGCACCCATATATGTACATGCATAGAGGATGTACGTATTTGTGTACAAGTGTTGTGATGTACTTTGAGACACCATTTCGCATGTATTTAGTCTTTATATTTTTCTTAATTACCTTCTCTTCTCTGCATACATCTGGACACTCAGTTATTATACACGGTTAGGAAATCATGTATCGAAAGATACATGACTGACGAGGCGGATTTTTTTCCCGCAGTAGGTTGCCATTTCTTTCTGCAGTAGACCAGTAGCTATCCAAGGCTACAGAAACCCTGTCCTGCTATTTACCTGTAGCTGGGGATTCATACCTTTTCTAAGGCTATTAGCACGTAAGTGAATGTAATGGATTCGACTGGAATTTGAACACGGCTCTCCGATTCCTCAATCCGAGCAGCTATCAATTTCTCCACCGTACCTCTATCTGGACACTATGAATGTCAATATTGACCAAATGTTTGTGATCACGTACTTGTAACCACACTTATGGTGAGTATATCAAAAGATGCTTTCTAAAACTAAGCAAAGTATTTTTCTTTTATGTGCCGTGTCTTTCAGGACTTTGGCGATCATGGCTCTCCACTTCTCCCTATCCCTTGTAGCTCTCAATAAGTTTTGTCTTTTTGTTATTTCTCCCAGACCCTGTTCTGTCATCCACTTGCTTAAACCCATTAAGTATGTCATTGCTTTCTCTTGTCACTCTTTCCCTCTAGTCACCCTGTGAGTATCAGATTTTCCAAGCCCTCCTTTCTCATCGTTCCTCACATGTTCGGTCCATGGTATCCTTAGCATCCTTTTGTAGTACCATACCTCTGTTGTCTCGAATCTCTTCTTCATCTTTGAGGAAAGCGTCCAACATTTGTAAAGGAGGACAGATATCATGTAGCAGTTCAGTGCTCTTTTCTTTGTTACCAATGAAATCCTCCTGTCTTGTAATACTCTGTCTAGATTTTGGAATGCGTTTTTGGCCATCCCAACGGGTCTTCGGGTCTCAGCGTCGCACTTAAACGTCCTCTATCAGAACACTTCCTAGATATTTAAATTTCCGCACCTACCTGCTATCAGTACTGTGCTTATCTGCGTATCTTATGTTGTTAAGATTGTGTCCGCCAATGATGAATACTGGTAGGATTTTCAGTTCTCTTAGAATTGCCTCACTTTATAGGCTGAATAAATCTGGTGAGAAGACACATCCTTGCCTTACGTCCCTTTCTCTTTGTGTATATCTGCTGAACGAATTTTTTTTTTTATCTTTATGCAGGTAGTTTGCTGCCAGTATAGGTTTTTGATTATTCTAATTTATGTATAGCGGGGCAGGGTTTAGGAGAGATAACAAAAAGACAAAATTTATCAAGAAGAGGCAGCTGAAATGTTACAGATCTTTGTGACGTACTTTGTCGAACTCCTTTGCGTAGTCTATAAAATACAGGTAAGAAATCGAAAATTTTCTTTCGAAACAAAGAAAATAATAGTAAAGTATTATGTCCTTCTATATGGCAGTGAATGTTGGATAATCTCCTCACAGATAAAGAAGAGATTGAAGCAACAGAAAAGTGGTTCTACAGAAGGATCATGAGAATACCGTGGACCGAACATGTGAGCAACGACAACATTTTTAGAGAAAATGGACAGAAAAAGGACACTTATAGAGAAAGAGACAGATTGAAGAGAAGAAGGATAAAGGGAAATAACTCATAGCTTATCTATCGAATTTAAGTAAATGAATGGCGGAAGAGGGTTTAGGCGAGATAACAGAAAGACAGAATTTGTTAAGACCTACAAAGTAGAAGAAATTGTGGAGAGCCATGATCGCCAACGTCTACAAGGGAGTCGGCATATAGAGGAAGTATAAATTTTCTATTTTGAATATCTTTGTTTTCCATATTAGTTGTTCTCATTTCCTTGGTGCACGCTCTGTGTATATGTGTGTTGTCTGTGTTGTCTGTGTGTGTGTTTGTGTTTGTGTGTGTGCGCGTGTGTGTGTCTCTGTGTGTGTGGGTGTGTGTGTGTGTTTGCTTGATACTCACAAGAAGACAGACAAATGAAAACAACACATAACCTTCCTCGCCAGCATGAATAAATGTATGGCGAAACAGGGTCTAGGAGAGATAACAAAAAGACAACATTTAGCAAGAAGAAGCAGCTGAAATTTCTGAGACAAGTAATGAGAAAAGAGGGCTTGGAAAATCTGATACTCACGGGGCAGACACAGGGAAAGAGAGACAAGGGAAAGAGGGACAAGAGAAAGCAACGCGTGACATACTTAACGGGCTTAATCAAGTGGATGGCAGAACAGCGTCTGGGAGAGATAACAAAAAGTCAAAACCTATTGAGAGCTACAAGGAACAAGACGAAGTGGACAGCTATGGTCACCAAATTTTTGAAGAGACACGACGCATAAAAAAAGAAGAAGGTCAGTATCGTGATCAGGCAAAATTGTAGGTGTTATTCATTTAATTTTAATTATTAAACAGTTTTAAACTGGCCATAGTTAGCATAGCTGTTATTGTCAGAAGAAGCGGAGTCGGTGAGTCGAGTTAAAATCCCAACCTAGTCTATTGCTTTCAACAGGCACAAATAACCTTGGGAAAGGCAGAGGCTGCGTCTCTCTAACCTTGGGTAGTAGTCAATTTAGAAATCTCTGAATTGATAAATGTGCTAAAAACGCTCTACAATCTTTCCAAAGAAGCCATAATTATTTTTTTTTAAATGGAGTGTCATGCTGACTTTATATGTACAGGAGCTGCCCAGTTTTCACGAAACGCTGATTTGTGGAAGCGACTCCCAAGTTGATGCTTCCCCGATCACTACAATCTCATCCTCCTCTAGTCTAGCGTTAATCGTTATCTTCCTCACATATCTTAATCTTTAACTCTTTAACTCGTGTAGCTCTTGGGCCTTGTACAGGATGAACATCATTGTAAAATAAATGATTTGAACAGAATTTTTTTAAAATCGGAATGACCCCAAACATTAAAACACAAGGGGTTACAGGGTATGGCAGAATTAAGAACAGAAACAACAATGATGAGCAGAAATAGAAAAGAGTAATAAGGAGGATAGCGATTGACATTGCATTTCAATTATTAAAGATTAAAGTTGGTTGGAAAGCATGGAGCCGGAAGGGAGTTCCACAAGTGATAAGTGCACGAGAAGAAACTGTTAACATAGAATTTATGGTTACATCTAGCGAGATCACCTGTAAATTGATGAGATCACGACGCAGTCTAGTGCTACTCTTAAATTAAAAAACTCTAGGTACAATAACGAAGAACTCATTTGAACAATTACCATGAAAATCATGGCGGTTTAAATAAAATATAGCGTTTATACTAATCAAAATATATCGATCACTTATTAATTTCATTAAAAATGCCAGTTACCAAAATGCTCGTTTTTATATTTAAGTTTTCCATACATTGGAAATACCATTTCCTTCTGCTTATTAATATAAGTATGAATTGCACATTCAGCAGGCATATGGCAAGTAAAGCTAATTCCTATAGTTGTATCTAATGAACTACATAACTAAATTAGTAGTCTAGGGAATGAACTCGTGGTAGAATTACTCCGAAAGTAAGACAAAAACAATGTGGCTTTGTTTTAGAACAAGAAATGCTTGTTTTTATTGTTTGATTAATTCATTTTTTTTATCAACCTTTTTCAGGTTATTTAAAGCTAGAAAATATTTTTAGATTTTAAGAATTTGTTTTAGCTAATAATGGTTTCATGATAGAAATCTTAATAATTAACTCATAGCTAGGGTGAAGAGGGGTCCCCATAACTTTCTCAAAGGTATTTGCGCGTAAGTGAATATAACGAACCCAACGGAAATTGGGACTCTGCTCTCCGATTAACAATTCCGTGCCATTACCGATTACATCATCAGCACATCCAATCTTACAGCAGTTGGTATTCTCAAGCGGTCACTCATGTAGGTACTGACCGAGGTCGACATTGCTTAACTTTGGTGATCGTACAGGAACCGGTATTTCAATGTCGTGTGGCCTTAAGCCCAAAGAAATGCTGTCTTTATGTTCAAAATGCTATCTGAGTGAACAATACAAATCCAAAAACCTATATTTAATAGATTACAGGGAAGCGTTTGAGGAGACACAACACAAAGGCCTGAAATACTAGACAAGCGTGATTTATAAAGGGTTTTCCAATTACTTGGAGCGAATTTAAATTTGGCGGATATTTCGGCGATATTATTTTTCGCACATAATTGCCATGACTTAACTAACATGATCCAATAGAGAAATAAATAAATTTTCACCAATAACACTGATTTATTTACTGCTGACTGTGATCCGTTTTAATGAAACACCCTTATATATAATCCGTCTTAATGAAACACCCTTTATATGAAAGATATTCGACTAATCCGTAACCTCTGGTAGGAACAAAAAGCCTTCATACGAACAGAAAACGAATTCAAAAAGTACACAAAAAAAGCATAAGGATTAAGACAAGGATTCTTTTTCTCAAACGATTTATTTAAGCTCTCTAACGATTCTAAGAGAACTAAAGACATCATGACTTATTATCAACAGATATAATCTTAACAACATGAGATATGACGATGACATTGTGTTGATCGCAGACTCAGCTAATATAAATCCTCCTATATGGCAGCGAATAGTAGATAATCTCCTCACAATTGAGGAGATAATCGGAGGCAACAGATATTTGATCCTAAAGAATGATGATGGTAATATTAGCCGTTTCCTTATAAAGAAACATTTGGCATTCATTGATCGAACATTGTCGACTGAAAATTATAAAATATTTATCTTAAATTTTTTTTCAGGAATATAGGCTTCTCAAGTCCAATATCTGTTATTGCTCTTTCCACTATTGATGTGAGTTTCCTTCCTAAACTTTTGTTTGAAGTTGTGTGGAATGCCATTTTTGTAACCTAGGAAGGGTTACTGAATGAGGAATAACCAAAACGGTGGTTGGAAATGAAACGCTAATCTTTATAACATCAACAAATTACACTGCTAGTGGTGGACTACTTAGCATATTACCATATTTATTTCTGTTAAAAATACAGAAAATGTGGCACAAGGCCTAAAAAGGGATAGGAAAAAGGACGGCCTTCATCTGTCTTAACTTTAAACTTAGCTAGCCGCAAACACTGACCCAAGCATACAAACAATATTCTTAACACCAAAACAACACACTCTTACTAACCTTTCTTACTACATCCACCAAAATACCTTACTGCCCCAATGAAAATACTAAATAGTCCCCATATGTACAAGTCGTCTATTTAGCATATTAATCCCTACACCTACAATAGTGTCCAACGTATTTATGAGGATTGGGACATAACCATTTTAGTTGTCTCAGCTGTTGAAAGTCCTCAAGTGATGTGGTTTCCCTTATTTGGTACAGTTCATTGTTCGTGATTACGTCAGTCCCCAAAGTTTAAAGTTCACTCGCTCAAAGCCATTGATCTTAGCTGTAGTATACAGCAAATAGTTTATATATATCTGAGTTTCTGGGTTTGGTGCCATGCATAACATCCATATGAAAGTCTTAAACTGAAAAGGATATTGAAGAATATGGCTTGAGTTTTCATGTTAAGGTTTTGCTTTTTTATTAATTTGCGATGTTAAGCAAAACTACCTCTTGCACATTTTATGTTCAATTTCCTTATCTCCTATACAAAACTTGTTCTGATCCATACACTGAGGTATCTGAAGTGTTTGGTATTTTCTAAATCCATATCCTAATTTTTTTACGATGGATTCAGAGTTGAATACCATCATTGCTTTCATTTCAATTCTGAATCGTAGATTCTGTTTTGGAAAGGTTTATCTTGAGTCCTATTTCATGGAACACGAGTAGAGGATAGTGGTTTTCCGTTCAAACTCATTATTATTCCAAATATGAATACATATGCCATTAGCAGACACCACCTCAACAGTACGTTGGACACAGGAGGGAAAGGATAGTTGTCTTCTATTGGTAGATTTTTTGGATATTGTATGGAATGCTTAAGTGATCTTCACATCTTTGTTTGTATATGCGCAGGGCATAGTCTAAGAAAAGACTAAATAGACCCGGTCTCTTATTTCCTCCTAGTCGTACTCCTGAACTGATTTGAAATGTTAGCGTATTGTGGCCTTCACCAGACATGTAAGATTGTGTGGACAATAAAGTTGCCCTGTTAGATCGATGCATTTGTTGGATTCGGAACTTGGAAGACAGTTTGTAATGGACGAGGAAAGGAAGTCTCTATTGATGTGGCCATATACTGCTGCGAGGTTGACATAGCAGGTGTGATATTTCATATTAGAGGGGTATGCAATTTCCTGCTGTTGACATATACGTCATCATTACATCCGTTAACAAAAGAAAAACCAAAGTGGGTTGTGTGGATTTGACTTTTATTAAACAGTCAGAACTTAGGTAATATAATGTTCATTAATACTTTCACTATAAGGAATCCAATTGATATACCTCTGTATGTGTGATGGTATTGGAGACTACCTTTTGTTTCTATAATGTATTGTTGAGAATATCATGGACAGAGCGTATAAATAACGAAGAAGTCTAAAATAAAATGAAAACAAAAAAAAGCACTTATATTCAGCATCAGAAAGAGATAAGTGTAAATTCTGGGACCCAATAAGGAAAAGGGGCTTGGAGAATTTGACACGCATAGGACATATCTAAGGCAAGATTTCCAGGGAAATAAAGCTAGACACCTACCTAACGAGCTTGTGTGAATGGATGGCTGAACGCAAGGTAGGAAGAATGGCAAAAGGACAATTTTTTTAAAGATCTACTAGGGACTGGATGTTGTGGAGAGCCATGATAACCCACGTCCTGAAGGGACACGGTACATAGATGTAGTAATAGAAAACAAGTGGGGGGATTAACTAATAACTATAAGAAGTGAGAATGCATGGTTGTCAGGAAAAGAGACAGCCTCAAGTGCAAGCAACATATTGAGGATGTTAAAACCAGAAGATGTCTTCAAGAAATTAAGCAAAGTATAAAAAAAATAAATCAATAAAATTAGAAATTAAAAATAAAATGTGTACTGAACTGCTATGTAATATCAACTCTCCTATATGGCATTGAATACTGGACAATTTCCTCATATATTAAGAAGAGATTTGAACTGACTGACATGTAGCTCAACTAATAAATGCAAAGAATACAATGTAAAACAATATGTGAGCAAAGTGAAAGTTTTAGGAGTAGCAGGAACAAGGAAATTTAAAGATAAAATTAAAACAAATATATAGCTGAAATTTATGGCATACATAATGAGAGAAGAAGGTCTAGAGAATTAAACACACACAAGATATACTAAATTAAGACCAGCAAGGGAAAGCAGGAAATAACTTATTTAACGAGGTTGTGTGAATAGGTGACAGAACAAAGACAAAGAGAAATATTAGGTTGGTGCAAAAATAATGACGTAATAATGTCGTTTTTTGACGTAACGTCAAAAAACGACATTACGTCATTATTTTTGCACTAACCTAATAGTAAAGAATTAAAAGTTACTTAGAGAAACAAAAGAGGGGATGTTCTGGAGAGCCATGACCGCCCACGTTTTAAATTGGCACATGAAAATAAAATATGCATATACGATAAAAAAAAGTTAAGTCTCACGTTAGTGATATTTATTCCAACTTTCGTTCAGACGTTTTCAAATCCTCTTGACACATGCCTTTACAGGTCTGGATACTTTTGAAATTCACCTTTACATAAACGGTCATCGGGTGCACTGTGACGGTTATCGAAAGTTTAAATCGTTACGTTGCTAAGAAAAGAGAATATCTGGGTTCATTTGAATTCGGAAATAAAATCACTTAGATACGGCGAGAGATAGTAAGCTTATATTTCATATACATTCAAGCACACTTACATATGTGGGAGTATTTCATCTAATATATATATATATATATATATATATATATATATATATATATATATATATATATATATATATATATATATATATATATTCCGGAGTTATTTTTTTTATTTCATTTTTTGAATTTGTAGGTTTGATGAAGCGGATTGTAATTACGACCCAATGTAATAAATTATAACCATGGAATATTAGTGTTTAAGTCTTTTTTTATATATATATATATATATATATATATATATATATATATATGTGTGTGTGTGTGTGTCTGTGCCTGAGCCAACAAAGAAATATAGGTGATGGTAATTTAGAACGGAATCCTTTATTTCCTCCACCGCGGTAAATTGTTCTAGTTCCACGTGTCATGCCGCTTCTGTTATCTCCCTTTAACTCAAGTTTTTGCTCAGCACTGAAGTAGCCAGGTATTGAACTTACAGCTATTTGAATCAAGTGACTGGATCCATCCACGCTTTTATCCACTGGGCCATGTGTAGATGTATTTGGACAGCAAACCATTTTTTAAATACAAGTTTCCTTAAAAAAGAGTGACAAGGTACTGCGTTTAAGTCTTTTATTTAATTTTTTCTTTTGTTCTTATATATATATATATATATATATATATATATATATATATATTTGTTTTTGAAAATAAAACATTCCTATAAACCTGGATCCATACATAAAACAATCGATACATTCAGTTAAAGGTAAAAATAAAATCATCCTTGATAATGTTTAAACGTATAGCCGAAAGCGTTCGGACGTACAAAACATTCGGACAATTTCGGCACAATTTATCTCCAGAAAAGAAGAAAATATTAAGAAAACAAGAAAAAATAAATAAATAAATAAAGTTGACCACAGTATCTTGTTAATATTGAGTGGTCTAATACAGCCTGGATGAGACAGAGACATTGGTTCGTACTCTGCTGAGTTTCTTTATAAAGTCTCTCAATTGCACAGGACAGTAGACCTAATTCACACTGTTTAAAAAACGGGTCGTCTACTAAAAAACATGGATATCCACTAAAATAATCTTTAAAAATGTATATATATATATATATATATATATATATATATATATATATATATATATATATATA